GGCACCAGCACTAGTACACATTGGTCTTCCACGATCTTGATGTAGAGACATGGGTCGAAACCCAACACTTGAGATCTAATGAAGCACACTTACTCGTCGCACGTCTCGATCAACACGCGCGGCACTTTTTTGAAGCCGTCAAGTTCCTATACAAAGTCTAGGCAGTCGAACGCAAAACAAAGTTCAACACTTCAGGAATCACACATGACACTTGTTCCTTTAGGACACCATACAGGAAAGCCTCAAACACATCAACCTGTTCGATTAACCATCCATAGTGCTTGGTGATTGCAATGACCATGCGTGGCGTCAAATACTTGACCACGAACGAATACGTTTTTGTGTAGTCGATACCGTACTTCTATTCGAAACCTATGGCAACGAGGCGCACCTTGTACTTTCCGTAGATATATCTGTCTTTCTCTTGAACTTAAAGACCCACTTTTTTACCAAATAGCGCGTTGTACGTTAGATAACTTGGCTGCACGAAGCACACCGCAAAGTTGCATTGACTTAAGTTTCGTGTGAATAACTTATCGCTAGTGCCCTTGGTCAAGGTTTCTCACTGCTTCCTCAAATGTTGACAGGTCCGATAAGAACGCTGCTATTTTAATGGCTTTCGCTCTCGCGCGCCAGAACACGGGTTAAGTCGATTCATCAGAATCCTCCGATTCTTCGTCTTCTTCTTTTTGGTTACGAGTTGCTGTCCGGTGTGCTTGACTATTCTATCCCAGGACATTGACGCACTTCACGCGGTCGTAGAGAAGCTGTATCTTCATCATTGAAGCGGCTATTGTGTTTACCTGTTTGCTTGTACTCCACCTGAAGCGGCTCTTTATCCCTAAGATCAAGTAATTCGAAGTCCAGGTCATCGGCATCTTCATCGGTGATCGATTGCGGAAGACTAAAAATGGGCTCGTCGAAGTTGCCATCGCGACTGACGACCACCTGCCCCGCCTCGATGCCATAAACTCGATACGCCTTATACACTTCTTCGTAACCCAAAAATATGCCAGGGCGAGCCTTTAGATCCCCCTTGAGTCGATTCTCCTTTGGCGTCAGCATGTATGTCCGACACTTAAATGCCCGCTTGTGCTTGACGCTTGGCTTCGAGTTGTAGATGATAATAAACGGAGTCTTGTGTACGATCTCATGTGACGGCCGTCGATTCTTGACTTAGATGACCGTCATCGCTGCTTCAGCCCAAACACATTTGTCTAGCTTGACATAATGGAGCGTGCTACGGCTGATCGTGACAATATTCCTTATGGCATGCTCTGATGTACCTTTGGTTTGATGTGCGTATGGCACCTTAGTCTGCTAGTTAATGCCTTCGTCTTCGAAGAACACTTGAAGCGAGTTCGTTACAAACTCGCGTGCTCCGTCGTGTCGCAAAAACTTGGCTTTTTACTGAACTGCGTCTGTACCATAGTAATGTGCTTCCGGATGTAGTCTTCACTCTCGGACTTCAATCGTAAACAAAATCCCTCCATACATTTACTTGCTTCGTCCATGATCAGCAACAGAAATATGCTGGAACAAAGTAATTCGTTTTCTATGGGCCCACAGATGTCCTGGTGAAACAGCAAAAAGTATCGTAGCTACGCTTGTTGCGGTTACTTGGGAATAGTTTTTGGAGCATTTTCTCTTGCAGAAACCCTTGACATGCAATTGATTCAATTAAATTAAGAGGGACACTCACATCCGTGATCATTTTGGTACTGATCGTCTTGCAAAGTACTTTGACTGGGGTGTGATCCATTCGCGCATGTAAATCAGCTTAATTTTTTCCACTTGTTGCCACATATGCTGATCGCTGAGCCATACGAATTCAGTAAAGACCATCCACGAGATCCGCTGTCGCCAGTACTTGCTGTGAGTTCTTGCGATCCACATACAGCTTAAATCCGTCGATCACCACTTGATATTTGTCATGCTTGTTGATCTGTGGCACCGAGGGTAAGCTCGTGCTCATACTTGACACACAGAACGCATTCTTCATCTCGATCTTGCGCTCTTCACCGCCGGATGAAACAACTTTTAAAATGATTCTCACATCTTTTGATGGCCACCTTGTCGCTACCAGCCATTATCTTTCACCATCATTGCACTCTGCCAAACTTGCAAACTTGATCTTGTCGTGGCAAATAAGGTGCGTTGCACCGCTGTCGACAACCCACATTCCAAACACGTTCTTGTTCGTCTACACGCTACATTCGAACGAAACTGCAAACGCCAATCGATCGTTTACATTGCATCATATGTCCCCACTCAACTTTATTAGCCCGCTTCCACGAGCATTGCCGCCGCGTCTGGCTCCTCGATCTTCGCTCTTCTTTTGGTCCATCAACGATCCACCGTATGCCCACCTTGCCACACTTCGTGCATTGATAGGGCTCACGATTGGTGCTAAATGCATTGCTTACATCTTCAGCCTTCACCGTAGTCGCTATTGTCGTCCCCTTTTCTCTTTGACGCTTGGCGTGCTCATTATTCAGGACTCTCACCACGTCTTGGTTTCGAAGCTCGGCACTGCTCATTTCCATGTTAAGTACCACCATTTCTTGGTTGGGTAAAAGACTAAGTAGTAGACAGGTTGCAACGTCTTCGTCCTCTGTTTTCGCAATGATGCCGTTAAGCTTGGCGAGGATGTTGATGACATTGTTGCAGTGACACACGACTCCCACGCTTTCAGCCATCTTTATGCTGAAAAGCTATCGCTGGATGTATACAGGTCCTGCCTTCTGCTCCCCACAGTAGATCATCTTCAGAGGTGACCGCTTGACTCACGCTTCCTCGTAGTTGTCAATCACATGGTGTTAATTAGCACCCATGTGTAGCAACATCATACCGAACGCGAGGTTGTTCGCCTTGAATAAACTCATCGGACGCTCGCGGGTCGGTGAAGGTCGCAGTCGTTTCATGGTTTACGAAGTGCGAGACGGACTTCGTTAAAAACATGCCGCACCTGTACCTTTAGTTGCACACTTGTCGCCATCGAAGTTATCGATGGAAAAATTGGAGGATGTGTTTGTGGTGAGCGACATGGTACTTAAGCTCATAACCTGTTGTTGGTTAAGGACGGATCGAAGCGAAGGGAGCGGAGAGACCAAATTGGGAGACCAAGAGACCGGAGGGAGCAGAGCTACAGACACTTGATCACTAGTTGGAAGATTCGATAGTGATTGTTTATCGGGACTCACTACTTACTACATGATTTTTATGTGGTGTACATTATAATGATGTGAAGCGTCTCATCATCCTACGCGTCTAATAAACTACGATAATTACCTTATAACTACGTCGTAAATTTAAAGCTGAGCAGGCGGTTCGGATTGAGCCGGTCACGGTTACCAATCCTGGTATGATAACCGATGACCTTTAACAAAAGTATACAACTTAAAATTGGTAAGCAAAATGCTAACCTAAATACTTTGCTGGAGATACTTTTAGCAAGTCGCTCTGGTTTTTCGAATTCTCTGAGAACTAGTGGGTAGGTAGACTAAACTGTTATATTTAGACTCGCTATTTTGTTCAAAAAACATTGCTTAATCGGCCTTTACTATCATAATCGTCAGAATGCAGATTTGCAAAGGTTTAGCTATGTCTTCGTGATTATTGCGTGCTTGCTATAATAGGCTTTATCAAATTTGAAAAAAATTCATAACAAATTCCGGAATTTGATCTAGAAACAGATAGATGTCAACCTGCAGCAAGAGAAAGTGCGAGTGCATGCGTCAGGAAAACCAGACCGCACTCTTTCATATTTGGCTCCGACTCACGTGCTTGTGGCGTACTAGTCGCCGAGGATTTCAGGAATCATCAACCTACTTCATGAAATAATACTCCTATATAAATGTAGGGCACGCTGTAGCAATAAAAGTCATACACTTCCGATGAAAACCAGCAAACACTTAAAATTGTACAAAAATTAAATTGAATATTTCAGCGACGGCGCAGGTGTTTTGCGAGGTAATGCAAGAATTGTCCTCGGACGGACAGCTGCAAGCTTCTTCAAAAAATAGTTGCTGGTCCACATATAAAACGTTTCTAAATAATCTCATGGCTGCCTAAAGCTGTGAAGTGCAATCTGACGCTACCAATACATCCTGGCACCAGAGCAATACCCGACTATCATATATATAAAATTGCGCGTGATCGCAGAAAGATGCAACAGGCCGTATGAACACAGATTTAGTTCTGTCTACCACCTACGCATCTATGTGGCGATTCAAGTGAAGAAGTCGCATTTGTTATAGGACATCTTAAATATAGACTGATAACAGTAGGCGCTTCCCGAACTAGTGAAAGTGCAGACATGTGTTTCGAAACCTCACGTACTTACGACTCGTGCACAGAAAAAGGTTTTCCTACAGATTATGCCTCATCGAATAAGAAAAGGGAGCTTGCAGTTGTTACAGGTTGTAGCGGGGCACCCTGAAGCTTGTACTGGTGAAAGTACAAGCTACTTATTCTGATGACAGAATAAGGCAGTGCCTCGGAACTTCACGTACACTCGTACGTGCAGAGGAAGACGGTAAGAAGAAGCGAGTACTTGGTTTAAGTAAAAAGTAGAACTGTATTTATGTTAGTTAATGTCTGTTAATAAATCACTATTTATCCTCGTCTAACTATGTCTGAATACAAATGTGTAAATCAATTATCTGCTCACCACTCATTGCGTGCATCTGTCGTGGCGCGTCTTCGTTGGTTGATATAATGGCCTATATCAACCAATTAGAAACTACTCGTAAGTGCTACAGAACATTTGTCCTTATGACAATATTCTGAGAATACACCTCTTATAGTTATATTCTGTTAACAATTTCGTATAAATTGTTATGTAACGATTCACCCCGTTACATCGCCCCCCCTTAACCATCAGTCACTTTAGTGACTGATTGACTAAATGGATACTCGTCCCAAATCATTTGGGACGGGGTTTGCACTTGTTGGTCCGAGTCCACTTTCCAACAATTCATCGCATGGTTAACAAGCCCATGCGATGCTCGAGCAAGGCCGCCGAGAGCGCGTCCGCACGTCTCTGTGCGGACGCCGAAGCAGAAACCGCAGCAATTGATGTCTCATCGGTTGCTGAAGCGACTCAGCCTGTGTCACCTGGTGATGCAGGCGCTCGTCATGAAGACACTCATGTCTTCACAGAGTATGAGCTCGGTGTTTCATACTCTCCTGATACGGAAGACGGATCCGTATCGACGACGATCGAATCCAAGCCGCCTGCCAAGCGTGGCATGGATGATGCTATGCGTCGTAGCATCTTTGGTTCATCTGATGAATCAGATGAACCATCGCCGAAGCGAAGGCGCTCGAGGTCGCGAGACTCGGGCGCTAACAGTGGTTTCGGTTCTCCTAGGGAGAAAGGATTACCCTGCCTCTCTTGGGGAGACTCGTGCCCATCTTGTGTGAACAACTCTGCACGAGCACCTAAGGAGGCTTACCTCCTTTCTAGCCCGTGGTGGCGCGTACGTATCTCTAGTGAGATGTACGAAGGGATTGACAACCTGAAATCCCTTTACGACCGTGCCGGGAGGACTTTCTCCGGCGGTCCGTCTGCGGCAAAGGATGTGCCGCGTCGTACTGCTCAACCAGACCCAGTACGTCAATCATCAGTTGGAAGCGGGTCTCCCAAGTATCCCAGGACGGGGGATAGCCGCGCCACCGGACGAGGTAACTCGTCCGACGTCCGTTCACGTCGCGGTGGTTCAACAGCTGCTCAATCAGATAGCGCTAGCCACCGCGAGAGTCCTCCATAGGGGGTGGAGGAGGAGGGAAGACGCTCTCCAAACAATCGTGGGGAAGCGTGTGTTCCTGAGAGCTTCTTCGATCGCGTAACGCAAGGGTTACGCGGCGATCTCGAACATGAGCGGTACAGGCGTCTCCAACTGGCGGACGCTGTCTTGAGGCATCGAGCTGAGTTTGCCTTTGCTCTGCTTGAGAACGAGAGAGCTCTGACATCTCTTCGTGACGAGCTAAGGGTAGCTCGTGTGGATATTGACCGGTCTCGGGATGAGATAACTGCTCTTCAGACCCTTGTCGATGCCCACCATCGGGAGCACAAGGCTCTCTGCGAGATGCTTGAGCGCAAGGGCGTTCTTCATCGGAAGAAGCAGCGTACTGATGGTACGGCTTAAGCCGACCAACGTAAAACGTGGGATGCGTTCGCATCTTACGTGGCAGTTCGATTTTTGTATGCATTGCCTAGGCGGTGCAATACACGAAATGGGCCGATGTACTTGGGCAGAAGTTTACTACTACCCAAGTTATCAACTACATGCTTTGGTAGATTAACCGTAGACAGTAGGACTAAGTCAACTTTATTAAATAAAAGAGTGTTTGTCCTTCCATTCTTGTCAGCGTTTTGCTTTTGCTTATCCACCGCTTCGGCGATGGAGTCTTGCACAAAAAGGACTACCGTTTCACGAGCCAGTATGAATTCATCTGATGACTCGTTAGCTTCAGTGCGCTGTGAGTGCACTGCAGCAACATCAATCTTTTCTTCAGTGAGGGCTTCCGCACTCTCACTGGCATCATCTTTTTCGATACCGATGTTGTCGATATCGGCATCAAACGCAACGACCTCATCGTCAGAGCGTGATGAGCGTAAATCAAATCGGTTTTTGCTCGCGCGAGTCCCTCCCCCCTTAAACCAGAGTTACACTCTAGTAAGGTGGGTACACGCGGATGGCGCAAGCCATTCACGTAAAACGGTGTATGTGTCGTGGACGCATGCACCGAGTTGTTAATGGCAAACTCTACCATTGGCAAAAACTCACTCCACCTCTAAAGGAGTGTACGTATCCTCGAAGTATCTCTTCGAGGACACGATTGGCACGTTCGGTCTGACCATCTGACTCTGTATGGTCAGATGTCGACATCTTCAAGCGCGTTCCGAGTGATTTGAACACGGAACGCCAGAAATCAGCAGTGAATCGTGGATCTCTGTCTGATAAGAGTTCACGGGGCAACCCCTGAAGTCAAAAGATGGTGTCGATAAAGACACAAGCACAGCCACTTGCCGTGATTGACTCTGGTACAGCCACAAGGTGTACCATTTTGCTGAATCTGTCAACAAATACAAGAATACCCGTATTCCCGCGTGCGTCTTTAGGTAACCCGAAAAAAAACCATTGAGATGGATTCCCAGCACTCAGCCGGAACCGGTAGAGGCTGTAAATGCACGCAGTGAAGGACTTGACTTCACTCGTTGACAGACTTCGCATGCGCGAACATACTTTCGCACAAACTGATACTGGCGGGGCCAGTAAAAGTTTCGACTCACCGTGAGATATGTTTTCTCCCGGCCACGATGTCCTCCTATAGGAGCATCGTGATACTCGAACATGATCCGCAAACGCATATCAGTATCATCTGGAATGAAAACACTTGGTGTGTCACCAGAGACGGCTGTACAATACAGTAAACCATTGCGAGTAGTGTATCAATCTGATGCAGATCGATACGCAGACGACAATCGTTTCAACGATTCTCGAGATGGCTGTGAGAGATGTGTCAACAATTTCACAATCTCACCATCTTGGGCGTATGCCCGCCTCACATCATCATGTAATGTTGGAGATGGGACTGAGGACGTCATAACAGCAACAGTGACTGTCTCACTGTTTGGTTTCACGACTGGTTCAAAGTCGGGACGACGTGAGAGTGCATCAGCGACGACATTAAGTCGTCCTGGTTTGTACTCGACCGTAAAGTTGTATTCTGCAAAGAATGACAACCACCGCGCCATTCGTTGTGAAAGGTGCGGGCTGTTCACTGCCGTGCGTAATGACGCATGGTCAGTGTAAACAATGAAGGGTCTTTCTCCTAATAGATAGACTCTGAACTTCGCGAGTGCATACTTCATGGCAAGGAGTTCCTCTTCATGCACTGGATAGTTCCGCTCAGCTGGTTGCAGCTGACGCGACTGATAGCAGACGACGCGTTCAACGCCTTCAAGATCGTACTGCATTAATGCACAGCCGATTGCAAAATCGCTGGCATCACAGACCACATGAAATGGCCTGTCCTGATCGGCTATTGCTAGGACTGGGGATTGTATCAATCTCTGCTTGATACCATCAAAGGAGCGCTGACATTCAGCGTTCCATAACCACCTCTCGTTCTTTTTCAACAAACGAGAGAGGTGCACAGTCATCTCGGCGTAATTGCGTGAATACTTAAGAAAATACGCCGCTAGCCCAAGGAATTTTCGAAGACCTTTGACATCAAACGGCACAGGCCAGTCGGTGATCGCCTTGATCTTTTCGGGATCAGGACGTACACCGTTCTTACCAACGTGCACCCAAGAAGTGGTATTTCGCTTGCTGCAAATATACACTTCTTGAGGTTTGCATACGATTGATGCTTTCGCATGATTGTAAGAACCTATCGGACGTGGTACCTGTGGACCTCAACATCCGACTTTCCATCCATAGCCCGACTATGGGTGAATACGTCATCGAAATAACTCGGCGCGAATTCTCGTACTGGTCTCAACAGATGTGTATCACATCTGTTGAACGTGGCAGGGGCATTACTAATCCCTTGTGGCATTACTAGCCATTCCCAGAGCATGCCGCTAGGCGTGCTAACTGCGGTATAGGGTATATCCCGTTCTCGCATAAGGATTTGATAGAAGCCATCCATCAAATCCATGGACGAAAAGATGGTACTCTTTGACATACCATCAATGATTACGTCCTTCCTCGGTATCGGCGTCTGAGCCGGTACCGTTGCAGCGTCCAACTTGTTAAATGCATGCACTATCCGCCACCCTCCTGTTGCTTTTCGCACACAGAAGGTCGGAGAGCTATGTGGGGAAGTTAATTCCCTCACATGGCCCGCAGCTAAACGATCGGCAAAGAACTTGTCGATCGCAAGTACTTGTTCACGAGGCAGTGGCCACTGCTTCATGGCACAGTACTTCGAGCCTGGTGTAAGCTCGACCTCTTGTCGAATACCTTTATCCTTCGGTAATTCGCACGGAACAGTTTCAGGGAATAAATCCTTGAATTCAACCAAATCTTCATAGAGAGGGTTTGTCTTGAGCGATTCCCACGATTGGGAGTCATATCGCTCAACTCGTGTCTTTTCATCTAGGACACTCTCGTCCATAGATGAACTATTGAGAACTCTCTCGTTCTCAGTGAACACTGTTGCTGACCTTATGTCGGCTACACACTCGTCGTCAGCGACGAGTACGAAGATCTGCTTGACTTTGCCACTACGCAGATCACGCAAGAACCTTTTATGCTCGAGCGTTGGCAACTGAGTGATCTCCGAAGTTAACTTCGGAGGCGCAATCAGATCAAGTGTATTAGCGCCTACACTTGATCCGTTATTGACTATGACATTAAATGTCTCTGTCATTTCCTGGGGACTTATTCCCTCAGGCCTCGAAGGACTTATTCCTTCGGCTTCCCTGGGACTTATTCCCGCGGGTTTCGGGGAACTTATTTCCGCCGTATTTACAATATCGGGACTTAATCCATTAACTTCCTCTAGCTGGGGTTGCGCAACCACAGCGAGATCCTCTACGAAAGACTCTCCAGTCGATCTAGGATTATCGTTTCGCTTAACCTGAGCGATCGATTGTTTCTCTTCTTGATGTTCCCCGCTAGGGATACATCTTTGTCCCAGTCCACCCGACTTATTCGAGTGATGGACCTTCGGCGCAGCCTGTGTTTCCTCACAGCCGCCGGAACTTTGCTCCGAAGTGTAACCGTTTGTTACACTAAGGTTTTGTGCAGTCGTACTAACGACCGTACCACAAGTGAGGCCATCGCACTCACTCGTAGTACATCCACACGCTTGTGGACGCTCCAAAGCGTTCATCAGATGGCCATCTGATGAACAAGCGGCAGGCATCGTTACTGTTCGATGTTGCCAGTTTACCCGTGGTTCGTACCTTCTGAGCCACGGTATTCCAAGGATGACACCAAATTTATCATATAAATCCAATACGATAAAGTCATCGTCATATTGGGTATCTTCTAGCGTATAGTGGAACTTCACTATACGCTTCACGACGGTTACGGATGCGCCTGTCGCAAGACGTACCGTCATCCTCGTAGGAGGTGTGTCACATTCACTAAACTTAAACTGACCATCTTCTAGCGATTGGCGTCGCACAAAATTGTTGGACGCCCCACAATCGACTAGAGCTCGAAGGGACAACTTATTCGTCACTTCGAGTTTCAAGGTAATGAGTGAGACCTCATTACCTAGAGCAGCAACGCACAACGTTTGTGTGTTAGGAGCAACCTTCATCAAGAGGCCTACAAATTCTCTTGACGTTGCTGGACCAGTAGGGTGCTCCGCACCTACTGATCCTGTCCCTTTTTTGACGGTCCATCCCGTTGTTGCGTCTTTGCACCAACAGCGGACCCTCGTCCCTGCCCCTTTCTCATGGGTGGACGGTCACTACGCCCAATGTTGCGAGACACTGGACGAGGGGCACTACACTCGTAAGCTTAGTGTACTGTCTTCTGACATCTGTTGCATCTCTGCAACTTCTTGTAGCCTGTAGAGCGAGCCTTCTCGCTCTCTACATAACAGAGTTCCATCGGCTCTGGACTTCCGCTGTCATATCGTCTCGGTTGACGATATGATGTCGAGCTGGCGCGAGCCTGTCTCAGGCTGAAGTCTTCCTGCTCCGCAATGGAAATGGCTTGTTCTAGTGAATCTAGTTCAAGCCGGAACAGGTGAGTCTTGACGGGACCATCCGCAAGACCCTGCATGAACACCGAAACCAACGTGTGTTCATCCACCGGGTTGGAACTTATACAACTCGTGAGATGTCGTATATGTTGCGCGTAAGCGTGCACATCACGCTTACCCTGCTTGAGCTTCAAGAGTTCAGTTCGAGCTCTGAACTCAGCTCTAGGCGGTTCAAACGTTTGTCTGAGCCGCGACTTGAAGACTTCCAACGACCCAAACGCATATGGGTCGTGCAACTTGAGCCCCAGTGCCCAAGTCTTGGCACGTCCTGCCAGATTTGGCTGGGCAAATGCAACTTGCATATCCCCATCGTCGTGCGACGCGCCCTTATGGCGTCATCCAATTCGACGAACCATCTCAAGAGGGAGTCCTCTTCGACTCCCCTATGCTTGGAGATGTCAATCTTCAAAGTCTCGGGTCGACGCGAGTGCATCGACCCACCAGCAGCAGCCTGCTGCTGTCTCAACAGTTCAAACTGTTGAACACCCTGTTCTCTCAACAGCTCTGCTTGTTGAGAGCCTTGTTGGTGAAGCAAGGCTACTTTCTCGCGTTCTGCGTCAAGTTCATTTTGAATGAACTTGGAGATAGTAGCATGTTGGGCATCTCTATTGAGAGCCTCTAGCATGACGCTAACAGCATGGATGCCCATGGTTGAACCCATTCGTTCAACCGCATCCCATTCGACATCGCTCAAATGGGGGTTGCCGTCACGCGTAGCGTGAAAGCTTTGGTCATCTTCATCATCCAACATATTCATGTTAGATGTGAACGTGGTCCTTGGACGGACTACGAAGTGCTACCAGGTGTAACGGGGCACCCTGAAGCTTGTACTGGTAACAGTACAAGCTACTTATTCTGATGACAGAATAAGGCAGTGCCTCGGAACTTCACGTACACTCGTACGTGCAGAGGAAGACGGTAAGAAGAAGCGAGTACTTGGTCAAAGTAAAAAGTAGAACTGTATTTATAATAGTTAATGTCTGCAATAAATCACTATTTATCTTCATCTAACTATGTCGAAATACAAATGTGTAAATCAATTATCTGCGCACCACTCATTGCGTGCGTCTGTCGTGGCGCGTCTTCGTTGTTTGAAATATAATGGCCCATATCAACCAATTAGGAACTACTCGTAAGTGCTACAGAATATTTGTCCTTATGACAATATTCTGACAATACACCTCTTATAGTTATATTCTGTTAACAATTTCTTATAAATTGTGATATAACGATTCACCCCGTTACAGCTGCCGTTTGTCTGACACCTCAATGCAATAACAATATCTATTCTATGTCAAAAAAAATTCTTGGCACCTGGAGCCTTACATTATTCAGTCACCCATAAAATAGCGTGGTACACATTTGATCCATCACGAAGTGGTACTGGTTTTGCAACTGGTGCGGGTTTTGCAATGTTTGCATCTGGATGGTGCTGGATTTGCGATTACTCTTGCTGATGCTGTCGAGGTCTGTGCAAGCCGATGAGCAGTGTGTCGTGACCTCCTGCTGAAAATGATTTCGTTTATTGTCTTAATTAGTGCATAAGGCTGTATTGACAAATATTGATCATCGACGAAATATTTATTAATAATTTACAAATAAATAGTAGCCTACGAAGAAATATCGGTAAATATTGATCGACTAATAAGCATTGCTGAATGTTGTACTACTTATAAATTTTGGTAAATATCGATTTTTAAACAAATATTGGTGAATAGTAATCAGCGAACAAGTATCCACACTGGCACCTAGCATTATAGTTAACATATGGAACGAATTCCCCCCACTACAGCATACATTTCCTCGTTACACTGCACTGTGCTTGATATGCATGGTATCAGTGCCAGCTCCACGCTTTCTCGCACGCAAGAAGTACAAGTGCAGTAACTTCACAATGCACATCAAAGTATATCGTGCATTTCATTGCAGCAGCCCGACAAAAGATTAACCTTTTTCCATAACAAGCGGTTTGAGAACCTGTCGAGTGGCTGATCGCCAAAGTGCAAATGTTGTATGCAAGGCGTGCGCGCACACATTTAATAGTCAGAGTATGCTACTGTCAGAAACACTCGCAGGCTTTTATGTCAAAATGTCGCAATGCATGAACGATAGACGAGCTTTCAAGTTCAGGCTTTGATTTATACATGCGTGCTTGACGGACTCTCGTAAGTGTAGTAATGGTCCCACACACAAACGTGTTGTTATTGGAATGGCATTGTTGGGGTCAAGGCGTCTTGATCTGTGTTGGCTTAAGAGACCGATGCGCAATTGTAAGCTTCAAGCTTCACAGGTCAAGAATGGGGTGGAGAGTTGATGTTCGTATCGAACGGTCGTTACGCGTTGTCGGCCAGCCTCAAATAGGTGTGGTAACAAACTCTGTCATGCGAAATTTAAACGGTTGTGCTAACCGGCTCGCACGCTTGCAGCAAAAGTAGCAAAACGTAGCCTCCTCGTTTAAAGCTCGTTGTTTAGCAGCGCTTAGCGCACGCATGTTTCTCCAGTTTCCACTCACACCCGTGTATTTCACATTTTTCTGGCTCTGAGTCTGTACAGCCATCCGTTTTCTTGTCGATGCGGTATCCTTGATGGCGTTGCTTACGCTAAAACGATGTGATGACCGTGTACTCGTGTTGCATCGTCAACTATCGTATTGACGCACGACATCATTGAAGTGACCTGCGTCTATTGACTGATTGATGCTCAAGTGTTGCGTTACAAGAAACACCATCACGGCTTTGAGCAATTCGCATTTAGATTCACTATTTTACTGAAGATCGGACCCGCATTACAAATCAAAGATCACGTTCCATCAGAACAAGACGTCAACCAAGGTGACATCGGTTGACATCTTATTCTGATGGAGTTTTACTTTTGTAAGTCTCAATTGAACTGTAATTTTTGAAAGACTGAATGGAAACCTACTGGCCAAACATTGCATCCTCAACTGATGGATCGATGGGGCTCTTGGTCAAGGAGACAACACGAGACACTTGATGGGTAGTAGCAGCAGTCCTTCGAGGCCGGAGAACAACTTCATTCGTCATTGCGTCACGAAAGCAGCAGTCCTCAATGCGGTGGATCAGCTTCTTTTGGGTTGCTCTGACCTACAGCCGTGGCCAGAGCCACGGACATCTCGCTATCTATCGCGGATACGATGCAACACCACCCATGCCGCAACGCAACATGGTCCACAGCATGACACATGTGCGTCACGCGATGGTTACAGCGCATCGCTTTCAAATGCAACAAGTGACTACAGCGCGCCGACAACTCGAAGCGCTTTCGACTCGACTACATGTTGAATTGCAGGAGCTACTCACAACGCGCCAGCACGCGTATGAGCAGATTCAAGAGCCCCGGTATCCCAGCAAATGTGAGTGTGAAAGTGCGTCCAGCTCCACCACCCCATTGCCGGCGCCAGTACCAGCCCAACCAACAGAGTCGGAAAATGCAGCCGGAGCTTTGCTCACTGGAAACGCGTCGTGGCAGCTAGAGCCGGTGGAACCATCCATGAGTTCAGACAACCGGTTGACTGGGGTGGACGGCCGCCATCAGACGGACTCGTTCTTCGCCAGTACTTTGTTCGCACTCGCCGTGTTTTTCATGGCAGTCCCAGTGGCATGCATCCTTGGCTTCGTCTTCTTTTACCGACGACGACGACGACGACAGCGCAAACACTACACCCATGCCTAAAACCTGACCTGGCCACATGCGATAGCGTAGTTTCTCAATGTAACAATGAGTTTCATAATTCAATCAATTGGTCTACCCTCGACATAATTTAGTTATGGCGAAGCGCTCGTCTGCGCCGACCGATGCGGTCGCTCCGTCCCTAGACGACGCATCCTACCGCCAGTTGTTCATGGAAGCACGCACAGTAGGTACTCTAGTGATCAGCGTATACTATGTGGACGTCGCACGCTTCTGCGGGACGTTGTTGCGCGGAGGTCTGCGGTAGCAATCGCTTATTTGTGGATCTTTGTCTTTTTATTTGTCGTTTTTAGGAAACTCTGCGTATGGCAGATATCAACCCCTTTTTCATCTGCAAATTATGCCACGGCTACTTTCGAGATCCGTATACTGCGAAAGAGTGTCTGCACACTTGTACGTCACGGATGTAGCAATCGGAGCGAGTGAATGGATGAATGGCAGAGGCGGAGTTCGGTTTTAATTTGCATTCCATATTGAAACAGTCTGCCATGGCTGCGTCCGGGGGTTCTATCTGCACACCCCGTCGAGTTCTTGTCCGACTTGCGGCGTCAACCTGGGTGCGAAACCGTGGACTCAATTCATGTAGGTCGAAATCATGACTCGATTGGTCACTCCATCACTGCTTATGATATATGACTTGCGTAGTCCTGACCCAGCGCTGAAGGAGCTCTCTGAAAAGTACTTGCCGGATTACCGTGCCAAAGAAGAAGCAGAAGGTACTAGTGCCGCTGAATCCGGTATGTTTGAGCTGGAACTTTGCTTAGCATGTGGTCTTTTGTTGTCGGTTTGTCTCTAGAGCAGGAATTCTATGCCAAGTTTGGGATCAAGCGTAAAGAGCCCGATGCTCCACACGATGATCAACAATGTACTTCAAAGTCTCGTCGCCCACTTGGTCAGTCGCCCGGGCACATGATCCCATTCGAGCTACGTCCCCAGCGCGGGTCAGTAGTTGTAGAGTCGGTTATTTTTATCGTGTGTGTGTGGAAGTCCCACGGTTATTCGTTGTGATTGTTCGTAATGGTCTCAGTCCCGACGTGCCTCTGTTCTTACTACTGAGTGAGCTGAAAGCCCCGTGCATGAACACGCAGTCGTCTTTCAAGGTAAGGCTCAACATTTGTCCGAGTTGGCGTCGCACGTGATTGAACCGCCGTGTTGTTCTGTCTGATGAAGGTGATGTATCTGCGCAAGTATCTGGCCAAGAAGGTGAACGTCTTGAAGCCCGAAGAGATCGAGATTCTGTGCAAGGGCAATGTAGTGGGTCCAGAGTATTCCCTCGAGTTCGTCCGGCGCACACTGTGGAAAGAGGACTCGAAGATGATCCTGGAATACCGACGCCAGCTTGTCGCCTAGACGATTGCAAATGGGCTGCGTCTGTAGCGCCCAATAGTTACCAGTCGGAATATGTGCGATCGGCAAGATCATGACTACTTAATGCCGTTTACATGGATCCCGACGAACACAAGACAATTCCACGCTGCAATAGTACTCGTCAGTAGTACGAGAGTAGTAGATTAGTGCAAGAGCAGTGGTAAATTTTTAAATTTAAAAAACTCAGTTTTTAACTCAAAAAATTCTAAAATATTTGTAATTTGAAAATATAAAAAATATTTATTTTTAACATTAATTTTGAATTTATTAAAATTAGGTAAAATAAAAATTATTAATTTTTTAAAAATAAACATTTTTTTTTCTTAAAGTTACTTTACAACCTATAATTGAATTTTTTTTGTTTTTTAAAAAAATAATATTGTTTTTGATTTAGTTAATAAAGGTTTTTGATTTGTTATTAATTTTAAAAGTAAAATTATATTAATTAATTGTTTTTTTTTCACCTGCGTGACTTGTACATACTTTGGTACTGCGTCAAAGATTTCCGTTTATTACCACTTTAACTACGTCGATGACTTTATTGAATGAAAAGAGACCAATGCACTCTAGCGGACGTTGTTCTGCATCATTTCAGAAGCAAACGCCTACGTCGTCACGATCGTCTCCTACTACAACTGTCTAATCCACCTCCTCGATCTTGGGACCCTGGTCCGCAGCACCCGCAGGTGGGGCACCGCCGCCGGGCATACCTCCAGGCATGCCACCGGGCATACCACCTGGCATACCGCCGGCACCTGGAGCACCGCCAGCAGCAGCGTACATCTTCTGCAAAATCGGGTTGGCCACGCCTTCCACTTCCTTCTGCTTCGCCTCGTACTCCTCCTTCTCGGCCGACTGGTTCGCATCCAGCCAATTGATCGTCTCCGTCACCTTGTCGTCGATCGCCTTCTTGTCATCCTCCGGAATCTGGTCCTTCAACTTCTCGTCGTTCAGCGTGTTGCGCAAGTTGTACGCGTAATTCTCCAGCGCATTCTTCGCCTCAATGCGGATCTTGTTCGCCTCGTCCTCCGACTTGTACTTCTCGGCCTCTGACACCATGCGATCAATGTCGGCCTGCGATAGACGCCCCTTGTCGTTCGTGATCGTGATCTTGTTCTCCTTGCCCGTAGACTTCTCCACGGCCGACACGTTCAGAATACCATTCGCATCAATGTCGAACGTCACATCGATCTGAGGCACGCCGCGAGGCATGGGCGGAATACCATCCAAATTGAACTTGCCCAGCAGGTTGTTGTCGCGCGTCATCGAGCGCTCGCCTTCAAACACCTGAATCAGCACGCCCGGCTGGTTGTCCGCGTACGTTGAAAACGTCTGCGACTTCTTCGTCGGCACCGTCGTGTTGCGCGCAATCAGCGTCGTCATCACACCGCCGGCCGTCTCCAGACCAAGCGAAAGCGGCGTCACGTCCAGCAGTAGCAGGTCCTGCAGCTTCTCCGACGAGTCATTGCCGCTCAAAATCGCAGCCTGGACAGTCGCACCGTACGCGACAGCCTCGTCTGGGTTGATCGACTTGTTGGGCTCCTTCCCGTTGAAAAAGTCCGACAACAGCTGCTGCACCTTGGGGATACGCGTCGAGCCGCCCACGAGCACCACCTCGTGCACCTGACTCTTCGACAACTTGGCATCGCGCAACACCTTTTCCACGGGCTCCATCGTCTTGCGGAAGTAGTCACTGCACAAATCCTCGAAACGCGCGCGCGTAATGGTAGAGTTGAAGTCGATACCATCAAATAGTGAGTCGATCTCAATGTACGCCTGCGCCGACGACGACAGCGTCCGCTTCGCACGCTCACACGCCGTGCGCAGACGACGGAGTGCGCGCTGGTTCTCCGTGATGTCCTTGCGGTGCTTGCGCTTGAACTCCTGCGTGAAGTGGTCCACGAGGCGGTTGTCAAAGTCCTCTCCGCCCAAATGCGTGTCCCCTGCAGTCGCCTTCACCTCAAAGATGCCGTCCTCAATGCTCAGCAGCGACACATCAAAGGTACCACCACCCAGGTCAAAGATCAACACGTTACGCTCACCGCCCTTTTTGTCCAGACCGTATGCAATAGCGGCAGCTGTTGGCTCGTTAATGATACGGAGCACATTGAGTCCAGCAATCGCACCTGCATCTTTAGTAGCTTGGCGTTGCGAGTCGTTGAAATAGGCTGGCACTGTAATTACAGCATTCTTTACCTCCTTACCGATAAAAGCCTCAGCCACCTCACGCATCTTGATCAACACCATGGACGAGATCTCCTCGGGCTGGAACGTCTTCGACTCGCCCTTGAACTGCACCGTGATCTGCGGCTTGTCGCCAGCACCCGACGTCAGCTTGAACGGCCAGTGCTTCACGTCCGCCTGCACCACCGCGTCCGAGAACTTGCGACCAATGAGGCGCTTCGCGTCAAACACCGTGTTGTGCGCGTTCATCGCCACCTGGTTCTTCGCCGCGTCACCGATCAGACGCTCCGTGTCCGTGAACGCCACGTACGACGGCGTCGTGCGGTTGCCCTGGTCGTTCGCAATGATCTCCACGCGGTCGTTCTGCCACACGCCGACGCACGAGTACGTCGTGCCGAGGTCAATACCGACCGAGTAGCCAGACACTGTTTGCGCCATCTTAGTCGAGTTGCTGTTGTTGGTTGGGGTGGAAAGTGGTGGTAGTTGTTGCTGTTGTTGGTTGGGGTGGAAAGTGGTGGTAGTTGTTGCTGTTGATGCGTTTGTCTTGTCTCCACGTGCGAAATTCGAAAGTGAGGCGACTCAGCCGCGGAAGTCGTGGTCCGTTCGGGCGACAGAGGGAGGAGGAGGTCGGGGTCAGCAAGATCGAGGGCGGGTGCCACACCAGGTGCACACACACGAACTCACCCCCCCCCCACTACGTTCGAGACAATTCCGCCCGCGACAAAAGTGGACGTGCATTGGTCGAAATTCGTCACTCACATCGCCCCTTTCTCCACAAGATCGTTTCGCTTCCCGTTTGTAAGGACGTCGAACGTTCTGGAGCCTCCTCTTTCTTCCGCCAATGATAACGAGTCAATGTGTAGCCAACTCGTGACCTGCGACAGAGTGCGCAAGCTGCGACAGAAGTTGCTGAATGAGGGCGGCGGCTCCATCCGTTTACCTCATAGGTACGTGTGTACTGGGTACAGAGACGGGAGGACGAGCATTGCCGTTCATGATGTTTCGCATCGCTGCCTAGACAGTGGCGGCGTCCGTCGTAAGTGCGATACGCGCAGTAGGTACGTTCACTGCAGTCCAGCAGACGAACGTACTTTTCGACTCGCTTGCCTTGCAATGCTCGAAGTATCAGTACACGAATGAGCCAATCCCTGCTCGAAGACTTACACGAGCTGTCCCGTCACGTTGGTCGGACAGTCCGGTCACGGTCGTGGCGAAACGACGTTGGAGTCGGCCCTAACCTGCACTTCCCTCTGATCACACCACCCGCTGCACAGTCGTAGCATAGGACAGTAATATCGAGGCAGTAGTTGCACATGCTTTGTTATTGATCAGAGTACGCGGACACTCGCTCACATTAATGTACAATAGCCCTGGACTGACAACTACGCGAGTTCGTCAGCCTCATACAAACATCACGGCTGGAGACTTCTGGGTACGGGGTGGGTGGGTGGGTGCACGCATTAAGACTGTTGTCGCTGCAGGTGCTGCTGCTGCTGTTGCTGTGCAGCAAGAGGCCGCAGGAAGTTCACGTCAACGTTCAAACTCGGGAGCATGGGTCGGCAGCTGCTGTTGCCGATGATGCACGACGACGGCGGCGGCGACAGAATGGGCAAAGGCGCCACAGTCGTCACTGCTACCGCCATGGAGCCAGTCGTAGCACAAGTGGCAAACGCTCGCTGCATGCTCGCAGAATGCGACGACTCGGAGTCGGTCCCGTACACAAAGCCAGGGTGCTCCAAGTGGTAATGGCTCCCAACCGAGCCCAACGATACCGTCGACACTGGTGGCGGCCAGTCCACGATCAGGTGTCGGATCGACTGCTCGTTGCGTGACTGAAAGCGCACCATCAAGTTGCGCGCGTGCTTGACCGAGATGTCGGGTAGTTTCCGCAGCGCTGCTGCCTCCACCAACTTCATGAGCTCATCAAACGTCATGAGCACGCCCAGCTCGGCACGCGCCACGACGACGCGCATGATGCCGGTCTCATCTCGCTGGTGAAAGTATCCAGTGGTGGCCTTGGACGACTGTCCTTCCTGTGCACGCTTCTTCACGCGGCGATGGAGAGCTGCAAAGTGCACGCCGTAGACCTTGGCTGCTGCGCGCAGACTCATTCCTTGCTGCTCCACCGCCACGATGGCTTTCTCCCACGTCTCGGGCGGCACCGTGTGACTCAGCTTGTACCCATGTCTCGTGCTGCTGCTTGTGGTGGTAGCAGCTGCAACGTCTCGGACGCTTGCAACGCCGTCTTCTCTGTTGGTGACGTCCCTACTCACGGTCGAAGAGGGGGCCACACTGGCACTGCTACTGTTGCTGCTACTGTCTCCAGTCGTCGCACCGTTCTCGCTGTCGCCACTCCCACTGCTAGCGTTCGAGCCAAGGTCTTCCCGATCCCACATCTGTTCGCGCTGCTGCAACGCGGATCCGACGCGATGGTCGTCCACGACAAGAGACCGACGCTCCTGTTGCTGTCGACGAGCGCGCTGCAGCAGCTGCGAGTCGCGGTCGTTCGTTGCTGCTCGCCTGCTGCCAAGTCGCGCCCCAGCTTCAAGTTCACGCATAACGTCGTAGCGACTCGCACACTGGCCGTCAAGCTCGTCCCGCTCGTCGTCACTGCTGGTGGTCGTGACGTGCGCGACGTTGCAGCTGCGGCTCCCCACGTTGAGGCGGTGCTCGGGCACTCGGGATGCCGCGCTAGCAGCAGGCGATGCAAAGCCGTGCGCGCGCTTGAACGCGAGGATCCAGCGCGTGGACGGAAAGTCGGGTGGCATGTTCCCAGTGCCGTCATGGCTGGCAACCGCGCGCACGACGAACCGCACGTCGTCCGACGTGATGCGCTGCTCGTGGTGGAACTGCGCGCGCAGCACGTTGAGCACTTCCCGCTCGTCTTGTTCGCTCAGAAACTCGTGCAGCTTCGCGCCTGACGCCGCGGACCATGGCGGACGAAGTTTGGCGCGGCGGTGCTGGGCGTCTACGTTTGAGGAGGCTCGGGGCATGTCGGTCCGTTTCGTGTGTCGGAGCTCAGTCGGACGTCTCGTCCGATTTGGAAATGACACGGTCGGCTGGTCTGCGATATGTCGTCTTCGTTCGACGAGCTTCTTTTAGCATGAGGGTAGGGGAACAACGAAGTCGGTGGTGGTCAATAGAAGCCTCTATTGACGAAAAAATAGCGATCGGTTGGTGGATTAAGGTTGCTGGAGTCGTGTGTCTCTTCCATGTACGCTCGTGACGCTCATCACTGGACAGCGAACAAGACACTGACAAAGCGTGTTTTGCTGCGTCTAGGGGATCTATGACTGGTGAGGTGATATCGACCAATGAGGGATAGTAACAAGCCTGCGCTTGTGGCCTCTGTGACATGCGGATCGTCCAGTCAGTTTACAAGAAGCAGGCGATGAGGAGCAAACAAATGAAGATACGAGTGCTGTAACGAGATGGAGCTTGTGAAAGTAGTGTTGCGTTCGTATTGTGATTAAAGATGAACCACTTGGACATAACCGTCCACAATTAGATAGTGCGCGCCTTTTGAATGTGCTTTTGTGTGGAGACAAAATTGACGGGTCCGAAAGTCCGTGTGCGAGCTGATCGATTTTATGACGCTTGAATGCTCGTTACTCGTCGTGTGGGGACGCTGTTTGTTTACCGCACAGACCTCTGGCTAGTTGTAGAGATGAGTCGCGCTTTGACGGACAGTGACGCAGCTTCTTTTGTTGGTCCTGGTGGTGGTAGCACGACGACATGTAGGGATGGTGATAAGCAGGAAATTAGCAGCTTGCTCTATGCGTGCACTCTACCCCACGCCGAGGCGTCGCCTTCATTGACGACTCTGTAGAAAAGTTGTGCGTTTGGTGTTTAGAGCATTCAGAATGATGCTAAGAGAGCTGTAACTAAACAAAGTGCATCCAAATGCACACTATTAACAATTAAAGTAACAGCAGTCTACCCTCTGCATTACCAAACGTCAGCAGCACCAAGTTTTGTTGGTCGGGCGCAGACTGCGAAGTAGGCGGGCCGGTGTAAAAAGAGCAGGACCATACCCAGTGCCACTGCAGCCAGTAGCTAGGGAGAAAGGTTCAGATCGTCACATTTCTGATCTAAAAATAGGTTCTCTGACCCAAGTACCGACAACCAAGGTGTCCACTAGCCTTATAGATATCAATTGTGTGGAAGGTTTAGAGATTGCGAAGTGCTGCGGTGCCAAGCTTGCGCTGCCTCGAAGTTGCCGCCCATCCGATGAAAAAGATGTCATCAGCCGTGCGTGTGCTCGTGAACTCAGACCAACATCGTGTTTCATGGAAGACTGCGTCCCAGTGCTGCTGTTCTTCGTCAACATTCCCTTGCTACGGAATGCCGAGAGGTGGGCTGCAACTAGACATGTCTGATAGTTGTGGTCGTAACGGCATCAACCAGAAGCAGATGGTCGTGACTTTTTGCGCAAGACCCGGTAACAATTAAATGAGTATCAGGAGGACATCATAAAATTTAAAATTTTGGTGCCCATCACTCCACGGTTGGCAATTAGCAGCTGTAGAACGCGCGTCGTTACAGGCACGAACAATGTTCCGTTCGGGAGCACAGCGACGCGGTGTCTTGAACAAGACAAAGTCGTAAGCGGTGGTAGGGGTTGGCGTTCATCGTGTACAGAAACCTCTTCGGAGCCTTTTCGTCCTTGCATGGGCGAGGCTCGCGTTGAAATTGTGAGGGCGTCGTGTAGTTTGGTGTGTCTGGATGGCAGGATGAAGTCACGCTGATCCAAAGTGATCAATTATGGTCAAGTGCCGCCGGATTTTCTAGACCACACAAGATACGTTGAATCAGTTGACACGAAGCGATTCCTATCGTTGATGGTCGAAAGAGCTACAGCTGCTCTTTTTTCACCGTACGGGATGGCAATACCAGCCATTCGGGGCGTTGGTGTCGGTACACAGCACGCTTCTTCTCGGTTCTTTCCAACTTTAGAGTTACAAACTGCAGTCTAAGTCGTCGTGGAATTCGAGCACCTTAACACGAAGGTTCGGTCAGCGGTGGAAAGTCCGGTCAGCTGAAAAGCCTTTGTTTCGGACCTCCACATTTACCGCTTTGCTACAGCGCGGAGTTGCCACATATTCAGTTGGATACTGTCGGTGATAGTGTGTGCTCCAGTCCGAACGCTGGACAATTCCGTTGGATCCATAGATTTGTGATACATGCACTGCTCACTAGTTGCCACACCGTTTCATACTTGAAGTAAATCTAGAACGCCGACTAAGTGCTTGTAACCCTATACGATATCGGTGTGCTGCTGCTTAAACTACATCATCGTCTCCTCGCTGGCTTTGTCTGCTTGGCTCGGCTATTCGGTCATCACTGGGGACACTTCGCAGGGGGCACGTGGAACCAGATATCCAGTCTGGGGTGCAGGCAGGGCGCTGAAGTCGCAGGAAACGCCGGGTACCAGACCGATCATCCCCGATAGGCCGCGGACGCACCTGGAATAGGTCGATCTTGATCACGTTCTAGGCAAGTTCGCTTCGCGGGGCTTGGGAGTCAACCTCAGCGATCAGGCCGACGACTCGAAGACCGAAGACCGAAGTAGAATAGTAGGTACTAGGTGGGAGGCCACAACCGCTACTGCCGTACCTCTTACCTCGGAATGTCTGGGTTGTTGCTCCTCTTTCGGTTTGCACGCTGCGCGCCCTCCCGTAGCGCACACAGTGGCAAGAAGGCCTCCCACCTTGATTTTGGGCCCCACAATAGGGGTTTTCCACCCAGGGTTAAGGGGGTCGATCGCCAAGCTCTTTGGAGATCTTCGTTTTTGCCTGAAGGCGCAAATTAGGAAGTGACACCTTTTCATACTTGAGCGAATGCTGTCACTTCATCCGGGTGATCCCGACTAAGATATCGGATAACCACGGCGGAGAGCTTCGGCGCCCTTCGGCTGGCACAATTGGCAAGGAAGCCATGCAGCCTTGGTAACACCGAGCGTTAACTGATCCAGTGACAAGGAAGCTTTTGCCAGCAAGCCTAGGCGCACTGGCAAAATATATTCAAATGTGTCCTACACTCTTAGGTGACACACCACACCTTACGACAATCTGGATCATTTCATACCCAGGAAGATAGAGGCCCAATCACATTTCTGCCGATCGATGACTGACCTGTACTTGATATTTCGCTAGCTCATCTCCGCGCTCCCACGACGCCGCCGGTGTCAACAGAAACGCGGCAGTGCGCCAGGAACAAATGGCTACAGCTCACGTATTTCCATAATGTTTACTCCTCATCGCCTGCTTCTTGTAAACTGACTGGACGATCCGCATGTCACAGAGGCCACAAGCGCAGGCTTGTTACTATCCCTCATTGGTCGATATCACCGCACCAGTCATGGATCCCCTAGACGCAGCAAAACACGCGTGGTCAGTGTCTTGTTCGCTGTCCAGTGATGAGCGTCACGAGCGTACATGGAAGAGACACGCGACTCCAGCAACCTTAATCCACCAACCGATCGCTATTTTTTTGTCAATAGAGGCTTCTATTGACCACCACCGACTTCGTTGTTCCCCTACCCTCATGCTAAAAGAAGCTCGTCGAACGAAGACGACATATCGCAGACCAGCCGACCGTGTCATTTCCAAATCGGACGAGACGTCCGACTGAGCTCCGACACACGAAACGGACCGACATGCCCCGAGCCTCCTCAAACGTAGACGCCCAGCACCGCCGCGCCAAACTTCGTCCGCCATGGTCCGCGGCGTCAGGCGCGAAGCTGCACGAGTTTCTGAGCGAACAAGACGAGCGGGAAGTGCTCAACGTGCTGCGCGCGCAGTTCCACCACGAGCAGCGCATCACGTCGGACGACGTGCGGTTCGTCGTGCGCGCGGTTGCCAGCCACGACGGCGCTGGGAACATGCCACCCGACTTTCCGTCCACGCGCTGGATCCTCGCGTTCAAGCGCGCGCACGGCTTTGCATCGCCTGCTGCTAGCGCGGCATCCCGAGTGCCCGAGCACCGCCTCAACGTGGGGAGCCGCAGCTGCAACGTCGCGCACGTCACGACCACCAGCAGTGACGACGAGCGGGACGAGCTTGACGGCCAGTGTGCGAGTCGCTACGACGTTGTGCGTGAACTTGAAGCTGGGGCGCGACTTGGCAGCAGGCGAGCAGCAACGGACGACCGCGACTCGCAGCTGCTGCAGCGCGCTCGTCGACAGCAACAGGAGCGTCGGTCTCTTGTCGTGGACGACCATCGCGTCGGATCCGCGTTGCAGCAGCGCGAACAGATGTGGGATCGGGAAGACCTTGGCTCGAACGCTAGCAGTGGGAGTGGCGACAGCGAGAACGGTGCGACGACTGGAGACAGTAGCAGCAACAGTAGCAGTGCCAGTGTGGCCCCCTCTTCGACCGTGAGTAGGGACGTCACCAACAGAGAAGATGGCGTTGCAAGCGTCCGAGACGTTGCAGCTGCTACCACCACAAGCAGCAGCACGAGACATGGGTACAAGCTGAGTCACACGGTGCCGCCCGAGACGTGGGAGAAAGCCATCGTGGCGGTGGAGCAGCAAGGAATGAGTCTGCGCGCAGCAGCCAAGGTCTACGGCGTGCACTTTGCAGCTCTCCATCGCCGCGTGAAGAAGCGTGCACAGGAAGGACAGTCGTCCAAGGCCACCACTGGATACTTCCACCAGCGAGATGAGACCGGCATCATGCGCGTCGTCGTGGCGCGCGCCGAGCTGGGCGTGCTCATGACGTTTGATGAGCTCATGAAGTTGGTGGAGGCAGCAGCGCTGCGGAAACTACCCGACATCTCGGTCAAGCACGCGCGCAACTTGATGGTGCGCTTTCAGTCACGCAACGAGCAGTCGATCCGACACCTGATCGTGGACTGGCCGCCACCAGTGTCGACGGTATCGTTGGGCTCGGTTGGGAGCCATTACCACTTGGAGCACCCTGGCTTTGTGTACGGGACCGACTCCGAGTCGTCGTATTCTGCGAGCATGCAGCGAGCGTTTGCCACTTGT